GCCCGGGCCTCCCTCCTCCTGCGCCAGCGCCCGGCTCCCCCGCCCCGCCCCCACGGCGCTCAGTTTACGCCAAAGCCGGCCCGACCTTCTCTGGAGTTCACACTCAGCCTCCGCTGCGCGTTCTCCTTTTTCTCTCATAAGGGCCTAATTCCCAATAAAATTCAGGAGACGGGAGGTGAGTTCCAGTTCCACTTTCTTTTTATTTAAATAACCGAAGCAACAGCCTTGGCACAGCGGAGGGAGGCTGGGTTGGGGTGTGTGAGGGGTGGCAGCAGGTGTGGCCTGATGGGGGAAGTGAGCAGTGACTGGGTCACAGTGGACTCCACGCACCCCTAAGCCAGGTTCAGCAGTCATGGCCGTGGGGTTGGGGGCACTATGGAGGAACCAACAAGTAGTGGCGTCTCTCCAAGCCCCAGCGCCTCGGGGATGGGAGCTAGGTTCGCTCCCTCAAGTGGCAGGGCCAGGCCATCCTAGTCAGGGGTCACGGAGCCCGGAAGGCATTTTCGGCAGCCCCAGCGGCCGCATTGGCAGCTGCGGTTCGCACCGCAGGGTTGGAGAAGACACCAGCTGCAAATTCTTGCTGTGCCTTCTGAAAGCTGGCACCTGTACGGCGGTACAAGGAGTGGATCTGCAAGCAGAAGGCAGAGACATTCCGGCACACTGCGGCCACCGTCACCCCACCGAACCTACACCATCACCGCCACTCACCAGCCTGCTGCCCCAGCCTTTCCTTCGGGGCTCTGATCCTCCCTCCCTCCCTCTCACACACTTGCGCTCGCACACACCCCAGAGGACTATTAGCTGAGACCCCGCCCACCAGGCCGGGCCATCCCAGCTCCTCCAGAATCTTCCACTCAGGCCCCCAGGGACCCATGATCTCACCCTCCTGGCCCCACCTTCAGCACGGTCCCTTACCCGCTTTAGCATCACAATTCCTAGCACAGCGATGCCAGTGAAGAACAGGGCGACCAGCAGCATCAGCACAGCTACAGCGGTGTTGGTCTTTACCACCATCAGAGCAGAGATCCAGCCACTGCAAGGAGGGAAAGGATGGGCCGGTAAAGAGGGGCTGCTCACAGCGGGGCCTCTGTCCTGCCAGCTTCTCCACGGGTCATGGGACCAACATGCTCCATTCCCATTCTTCCCACAGCAGTCGCTGCCCTGTCAGTCTGGCAGCATTCCATGCACCACAATCCCAAACTACGTCCACTCTCTTCACAGTGTAATTCCAGCTTCTGAACCATTAGTTCTAGCTTTGCAAGCTCTTCCCAGGCAGTCCTCTGATGACTCTTCATCTCTTTTTCACAACCAGGGTTATATATGTCTCTTCCAGGATCCCTTCCCAGATTGAACACATGCAAGCTTCTTTCCCTCCATCTATGCCCGTATAGAGTTTTGTCTGGGCTCTCTATGTTGCATATCTCCTTAAATTGGCACCTCCCAAGAATAAAAACCACATTTCCTTTTCCCGAACAACTCCTACCCCAGTACCCAGTGCTGGCTTGGTCTAGAGTTGGAGGGAAGAGAGGGCGAGGGTGGATGGCAGCCTCACAGACCTGAATCCCCACCCTGGGATACCAATGGCCTGAAGGACATAGAGCACATCCTGGATGAAGAAAATGAAGAAGAAAACGAAGAAATTGAACGAGCTGTCACTCCTGCAAAAAGAAAAACGGAGAGGGTGGGAGAAGAATCAGAGCTGGAGAGGCAGATGTGGGACCCATCCCAGGTGACCATCACTCCCCACTACCCACACTTACCGGAAAGCTTTATACATGGGGCGGTACCAGCAGACGAAGGAGCAGGGAGTGAAAAGGAGGATCCAGAGGATAGAAAGACCAAAGCCTGAGCCGTTGCTGTTGTCCACACAGAAGCTGGCCAGGCAGGCGAGGAAGTTCAGGAGCAGAGCCAGAGTGCTGCCTGAGAGTGAAGGGATAGGATGACAAGGACTTCTGGACTGCAATGAAGGCTCCTTCCCATCTGTGCTCACCCTACAACCTCACCCAACATGGCAGGGCAAAGAAAGGAAGGCATCTCCTGTCTTGGAGGAATTCTCAACTCAATAGGGAGATAGAGTATGCAGCTCTCAAGCATGTATGATCCCTTGCAAAGATGTTTAAAAAATTCAAAATTAGCCAGGTTCAGTGGCTCAGCCTGTAATCCTGTGCCTTTGGGAGGCTGAGGTGAATGGATTGCCTGAGCCCGCGCGTTCGAGACCTGCCTGGGCAGCGAGACCTCATCTCTACAATAAATCAAAAAATCAG